TAGGATGGGGAGTTTAATGATAACCTGTTTTCATAACATCTGAGGGCTTGAAAAGGCTAGAAAAGGAAAAAGTTATTTTAAGAGAATAATAGAGCACCTTAGGTGGAATGGCAGCAGCCACTGGACTATTTTGCTTGAGAGTCTTCAGACTGCCAACAATTGCCTGCAAGGTAACTAAATCGTGAAGACAAAGGCTCTCTTTGCAAGCTGACAAACATGTGGTAATCTAAAACAAAAGGTACAGTCAAGTTAACAAAAAGATATAAACAGGTTCCATTTAATTGTGGAAGAAAGAAGGACGAACCTTTAGTACACTTTACTGCTTACTATGATAGCCAGAAAAATTAAACATGGCATTTAAATTTGACTGTTGCATATTCTGGGATTCCATTTCAATTCAGTACATACCTGTATTTCTTTTGTGAGGGAGTTCTGAAGCTCATTTTGCACTTTGAATAGAGATGCTTCCATCTGTTTTGGTAATGTTGAGACCAGCAAGAAAATCTGCTGTAACTTATCTAGATTCATATCATTTCCAAGTTGATCTGATATAGATTTCATGCCTTCATCAAGCTTTGTTTTGATATCTTCAAGTCCCTTGTTCTGTTTGACATGTATGACAATTGCATAAAATATTCTTTGGTGCTTTGGCATACCAATTAAAAACAAAACAGCCATAGTGTTGCTGCTGTTACCATTAGCTGCAGCGAGGCATCCTCAGCAATCAACTTCTGCCGTATCCCATCTGCTGAAGTAAATTTGTGAAGAAACTCTATTAACTAATACATCATACATATTTCAAAACTCTTGTCTATCTCAGTCCTTTACAAAATCAAAACAAAGGATATTCATTATCAGAGGCTGACAGGATGATAAAGATCAAGTTTCACATAGAAAAAGAAGTATAATGATTTCCATCTACCAATTAAATTTATTAGAACTATTACATAGAGAGCGTCCACTTAGATCTTCTACAATAACAGACTGAAAAGTTCTCCTGTAGATTCATAAAGGCAGTACTTGCAATCATAAACATGTGATGATGCATTTTCCTCTTCAGCTAGCACTTTTTAAAATGCTGAGGATTGAGATAACTCACTTTCCAGCAGTACTTCCTTTGTTCCTTTGTTCACTTGCATTA